GGAGGGAGTCAGAAAGGAGGAGAAAGGAGAACATTCTAGAGAACACTGTCTTTTGTCAATGTTAGGTTTCAAAACCAGGAGCTTTTGAATGAGAGGCGAACTCTGTACCTGTAGACCACGAGAGCCCCCTGCCGTATTTCGACAGACTAAAGGTGCATAGGTCAGGTCTCCTGAGAAGAGCATGGAAAACACATAAAGTTACAGAAGCACAAACAAACACGAACAAACAAGTGGGAAGACCCAGAATAATATCGAGAGGCTAGCCCGGGATAGGGACAGGTGGAAAGTGTTTGTTGGTGGTGGTGTGGCTTATAGCCTGATCCAAGGCGAGACGGGAGGTTTTGATGGAGTTGGTGGGGAAGGTGGTGGTGGATCATCTTATGATTTGCTTGTGTGTGCTGGTGAGTTCTGTCGTGGTTTTTGGGTCCTCTCCATTCATCATTCCAATGGCTGCATGGACCCAAGGCCACACGGAAATCGCCCACATTGTGTCTAAATTTGTTTCTGAAGACATTTCTGTCTGCTATATTTCCCGTTTTCCTCCAGTTTTCCCGTGTTCTGCTCCCCAGGTGTGTGTGCCGTGTCCTGCACGGCCAGGAAGATGGTGTTTCCTTCCTCCAAGAACCGGGGCTGTGTACAGATTGAAGTAAGGCAGGCACGGGGGGTTTTAAAAATTTGTGTTTGAGTTTGAGTTCAGTCATAGTTTGCATACACTAAGTTTTTTTATCTTTTTGTTCATTCATAGTTTGCTTAACGTGGAAACAGTTGAAAAAGTTGGAGCCACTCTAGTTGATTTTCTGCACAGATGCAGAGGTAGGGACAGTTGCCTCAAGACTGACAACGTGTGGGCAGAAATGGGATGGGTCTGTACTGTGTGCTTCATTGTGGTAGGTTTTGACACTATTGTGACGGTAATTTCTCGCTGATGTGGGGCTCTTGTGTTTTGGTTCTGATGTTTTCCTCTTCTTTTGCCGCACTCTCAGCCACTCGAGGTAAAGGCAGGTGTGAGACTTGTGCACAGCTTTGTTGGAAAGTGAGAGAGATTGGCTTAAACATCACACTCTTTGTTGTCACAGTACATTGAAGTTGTCTTTAGGCCATTCCCAAAGGGGGGATATTAACATGTTCTTATGCACAGTAGAATTGTAAATGGGCTGATTTATCAATGTCAAGCTCATACTGTGCCGGAACAACATAGGGGGAACTGCTGCTTTTTCTTTCCTCATCCTTACTA